TAATAGATTCTCGGAGATACTGCATACCTTTTGACACACTATTGCTTAAAACTTGAACCGCGAGACAAACTTTCATTTTTTCGTTGTACCAATTTAAGTGTCGAAGTCTAACTTAGTATTTACGTGTAATCCATATTTTTCTTGTATGTTATCAATTTTGTACAAAGTCATATCGTATCTCTTCGTTATTCTTATTTTGAAGAACTTTATATTCAGCAAAACAGTTTCCAACTAATTTAATCATATGACATGCATCTAATATGATATATATTCGTTTTTTAGTAATTGGATGCAGAAAGAATACTTGCAACTCTTTATCAACCTGTAATTGTGCACCTAATATATTTGCCATAGTAAAATTATATTGTGGACCGTCAAAAGTTAATGAAATTATGTCAATACCTGTTTCATGGATACTTTTTAAAACGTTTGTAATAATATTAGCACGATTCCTTGCAGTCAATGCATCGATGAAATAATACGCAACTGGTATTTTCCAATGTTCGTTAATAGCTACTGCCATAATAACAACCACTTCTTTAGCTAAAGGCAATTCATCACTATCTAGTTTTGTCCCAAAATTAATGAAACCTATGTATTCTTTTCCATTAAAGTCAATCTGTTTTCTTATAGACATATCATCAATTTGTAAACCGCAAAGAATAGTGTGATTCTTTTCAATAGCTTCGCGTGCTTTTTTTGTTAAACAATCTAATGCAGGTTGTGAAATTCCGGGGGATCCATCGATAGAATAGTACCATTTACGGATTGTGGAAGGATGTGGTAAAATATTTATAAATGATCTCTGGACGAAGTCATAGGCTTTAGGAGAGTAGAAGTGTAATGTGGCTGCAAAAGTTTTCAATTCTGGAGGAAAAGCATTAAATTTATGCTTGTGTGAAAGTACTTTTTGTACTAATGCTACAGGTGCAGGAGATTCTGTTGACTGGAAAAGAATACATAATTTTGATACGTATTAATGTACACATAATTTACAATGATCACGACAAAATAACTCTCCGCAGTGGGTATTTTTGCTAGAAATATTTGCAATAATGAGAGCAATGTAAACAATACATTCTACATACATACATACACATATATATATCGCCATTATTGTTAACATACATTGTAGAATGTATTATTTACATTAAAACTAATTACTTACTTGTAATATATCTCTAGCTGTGCTTGTTATTAAATTATTATCTTTTAAAGTCTTCATCAGTGAGCGTAAATCTTTAACTGTTTTCTGTAGTTTTCCGACTTTATCTCTAAATCGTTTTATCTCCTTCCGTTTTTCATGCAGTTCTTCAATGAGTGCTTCCAAGCAGGTTTCTGCTTCAAACGGTGATTGTGAAACCTGTTTGACGTCTATATCACGAAATGTTCTAATATTTTTTCGAGGCACTACTTCATCTTCAGTTGCCTGTTCCATTGCTAAGGATCTTAAGCATAAAAATAATAACACTTATCAACAGTAATTATTCAATATTTTGTTTGTAAATTACCTTTTCAAACATGTATGTTCCTTGTTGCAGTATTGTGTACTTTCTATGCTCTCTTCTATGCTCTCTTCTATGCTCTCTTCTATGCTCTCAGAGTTGCTACGATCAGTGGTTTCTCCATTTTTCTGTAAATTTATAGATGGGACTGCATCAGATTTGATATATTTTCTTTCCCCAACAATACTTTTTGTGAAATCCTGTTCATTAAAATGTTTTGAACACACTCTTGCATTTGAACTGATCTGCTTGATGTTTAATGCAGATAACCATAATTTCTTTATGTGTTCTTTTCTGGAACTCTGAAAATAATGATAATGTATTACTTTATATTGTATAATTCAATTATTATTATATTACAAAATATTTAAAATAATGTTCTAAATATCTCTTATCTGTAAAACGCATAATCTAACCTAACTTTTTATAATTTTACTTTACACAATTTTATTACATACTATTACATATCTTAATTTATTATATAATATATAATTTTAATATATATTTAACAAAACTATGCAAGTTACGTATATAATATAATTATATACAGCTTTAAAACAATATGTTTAAAGAATGTGTTACAATAATGTCCTATAAAAAATACTTTTAATGTACTTACTTATGCATCTGTATATCCTTTTTATTTTTATCATACGTAATTTTGCACACAAAACACCTTAAAACCATTTTTTAATTTTTAAAGATAAAGATAAATGTTTCACGTTATTCCAAAGCGAGTAGGCGAAGGTGAGGTGTCAAATTTAATGCTATGTTACTGCTAGAATTCTGGAGGGGGACGAAATAACAAATCAGAAGCTTGCAAGAGAAACAAACATAGGCCTCAGATGTAATACCTCTCACTCTAAAGCAGGCGCGCGCTTACCCATCGCGATGCTCAGTCCATTCTATATGTCGATGGGATTGAGATATCACCGTACTCTCAGTCCGGAAGTCGGGTAACCCTGGCTTAAGAGAGGTAATACCCTTTCCCGGTTGATCAGGTGACGAAATATACGGATCGACCGCACACCGGGAGTACCCTGGTTAAGAGAGGTTGCATCCTTCTTTTCGGTCGAGACAGGACAGGTTTGGTAGGGATCGGAGTCCGCTGCAAGCACGCAGCGGACAGGAACTGGTGCCGACTCGTCGGCCAGGCCGCCTTTTATACCCGGTCGATGAGTCAGCCTCCACTTGTGACCGGCGACGCATAGTAGGGATCACCCCACACTAGGGTGATCTGTACAAATGGGGAACGTCATAAGCGCTTTAGTAACGGTACATTGGCGTACCGTTACAATTTTATTTTGTATTTTATATAATGACTGCAATAATATATACTCATTATTTCAGTTGTTATTGTATAAAATGCAAAATAAAGATAACTATATGTTCAATATATGTATATATTTATTAATTGATTAATTAGTTAATTTTTGTATTCATTATGTAAGAATAAAAATAAGGAAAGCATATGACATTTTTCTTCAGATAAATGTTGTAACAGTGCGTGTTTTCGCGCTGTTACCAAGCGCCGATCGGGCTGCGTGAAGTAACACCCCCCATTGCGGGCCGCATTCCGATCCCCCAGCTTGGGGGTAGCAACCCGAGTAGAGATAGCTACCAGGTAGGGTAGCGCCCCGTAGGGGTAGCGCGGCCGGTATAAAAGCCGGCCCACGGAGCAGACCAGCACCATTTCCCCGAGTACGACTCGGACAAGCCTCAGAGAGTATCCTAAAGCACAAGTCGTACTCGCACTCGCTCCCGACCTGATAGTCGGACAGTAAGCAGGGCGTTCTCTACTTCGGCCGGACATTTCCGGTAGCTGATTTCCTGTCAATATATGTTGGTTCCGTAAGTGAGGTATTCCTCACTCCGGCCGGGTGATCCTGGCAACCGACTTTCCTGTTTTCTGTCGATCCGTAAGTGAGGTGTTCCTCACTCCGATCGGATGTTCCCGGCAACCAGCTTCCTGTTTTCTGTCGGTCCGTAAGTGAGGTGTTCCTCACTCCGGTCGGGTGTTCCCGGCGACTGACTTCCGGTATCTCCGTAAGTGAGGTGTTCCTCACTCCGGTCAGTTAGTTCCGGCAACCGACTTCCGGTATTTCCGTATTGGAGGCGTTTCTCATTCCGGCCGAAGCGTTCCAGCAACCGTCTACGACGTATCCAGCTCAGATACATGCGGTATTATTATTATTCGTATTATACTTGTTTTTCACCGACCGAGTTAGATTTAATTAGATTTATTAATTAATTCCGGAAAGGCGTACTCCGACCGAATACATTATTTATTCTTGCACTTCCGCTGTTTATTTAATTCCGAGAGTTGATTTGTTTTCGATTATAATACCACCATTGCAATAATTAGTTTTGGTAACAATTACTTATGTACTCAGAGTTATTTTTGTATCATTTTCATCTTTAATTGTTTGAATAAATTTATATTTGTTTAAGTAATATCTATTAATTTAGAGTCTCTCGACAATCACCCGAACGAATTCTGACGAACCGTCGAGCTATTCTCCGCTTCGCAAAAATCCACTTCGTTACAATGTATAGTATTATATGTATATTTTTCAAATATATTATTTTGTCATATTTAGTTCATATTTATTTGACATCTTGTATGCGCCTATTTCGTCTACATTATATTGCAGCTTTACGGCGAAATTTCGGTCAAGGAAAGAAGTACGAGCGTCGTTCGTTTACAAACCATCCGACGACACACACAGAGACCATACGTCGGTGTAATAAATTACTAACACAACAAATACATATACACAGACTTTATGTTGGTAAGCCAATTTCATTTTTAATTTTATTTAATATCATTTTAATATCATTTAAATGATAGTGCTTTCGCATTGAAATTCGGTTGTCACGTTAACATCTCCTTAATATATGTATATTATTCTCAAAAACGTGATTGACTATCATGTCGTTTCTTACTTGCACAGTACGTCATTCTTTATGTCATAAATTTAATTACGTACTAATTATCATCTTTCTATAGCTACTTTTAGTGTATTAATTCTTTCTAATTGAAATGTCGATTTTACATATTTGTCATTTAGCGTATTTATAAATTGTACGCATGCAATTTTGTCGGGTATTTTCTTTGCACACTCTTGATAAACTGATCACGTTAAACGTTCAATGTTCATTTCTAATGCAAATTTTTTTCTGCAAATTTTGCTTTTGATTTTTAAATTATATCTAAAATGTTTCACTGAAATATTCTCCAAATCTCAATTCTAATTTAAATTAATTGTGTTTAAGAACTAATTTTTAAAAAACCGTAATAGTAACCGAAAAAATCGCTATTTAAACAGTTTCAATTTTCTTTATTAACTAAAAAACCCAAACTCGAACAATTACCAAATATTTTATTAGACCGTAATCGTAGCCGAACTGAAATATAATGTTGATCCGGGTCTCTGTTCCCAACACTTCTCTATTAATCTGTGTACGACTCATTACTATTCGCTCGTGGCGCTCAAAACCATAATAATAGCTAATTTTCTTTGGTAAGGAAAAGGTTATGTTTAATTACCTTGCGTGGTTTGCAATTGGAATTAAATGGCTGAAGAAGTAAATTTCCACCTTGAGAATACAAAATCATTGAAGAATCAGGACTCCAACTTGATGTTAGTACAGGCAAACTTGCTTTTACCAATGTAGAACGAAGCATACCACTTCGTGAATATATCTTGATGAATCCATCTTCTCCAGCTGCAATCGCAACCATATTTTTGAAAAACAAAAATTATTAAAAATTAAATAATTATATACCTGTCAATAATGCAGAACCATCATTGCTCCACCTGCCTAATATTGTTGCACCTTTATGAGCGTCAATACTTTTTTCGATGCGACCATTTTTATTGACTAAATGGTATTTTCCTAAAAATTAAGCAATGTAGAAATATTTTTAAAATATTCAATTCTTTTATTTCTTTTCTATAAAAATCTTTCACTTTTTAAAATTATTTTTTAACATTATCAACTTTATTCTAGAGCAGTGCTCGGAATTAGATGTACATTTCAAGCCGATTCCCGAGACGTCGTCCATTACCGCTCGAGGCTCGACGGCCAAGCCGCCGATAGCGCGTCTAATATTCTGACTCGGGAGTCCTGAGTCAGGACCATCCCTATATAAATGTTAATAACGATTTCATGAAAAGTACAATCCTAGTCTATTTCTTACATAGGAACGCTTTTGAGCCAGACGCGCTATCGGCGGCTCGGCCGTCAAGCCTCGAATGGTAATGAATAGGAGGCGTGTTTGACTAAAAGCAGATTTTTGTTCCACCTTGGAAGGAGAGGATAAAAGAAAAGTCTTTCTTTTTAGCACAGATTGTTTTATTCGTAAGCTCGTTAACGCGTGTGTACAGCACGGATGATTGCGCGTGACTTGCTCTCTTCGTCTCGTCTAGAGATGATTCCAATTTTGCCAACGGAAGCTTATAGAGGCGCCACATTAAACGCACATTTTAAATTTGTTCAGCAAGTACAAAAACATGCCTCAATACTTCCGCTGTTTGCGTACTCGGTGGATTTTTCACGCAACTTTAGACTCGTACACATTCTGCTAAACAAATCTTTTGCGAGAGCCTTCGTAAAAATATCAGCTCGCTTACATTGTGTCGGTACATATTTGACTTCTATTTCTCGGTTTTTGACTCTCTCTCTTATATAATGATAGCGTATATCTATATGTTTGGTTCTTTTGTGAAATTGAGGATTTTTCACAAGACAAATCGCGCTTTGGTTATCGACATATATTACGGTAGCTTTATTACATCCATGCCCGATGCCGTTTAACAAATTTCACAACCAGATGGCTTCTTTTGCCGCACTTGACGCTGCTATATACTTAGATTCGGTAGTGCTCATTGACACTACTTTTTGACGTTGAGACGCCCACGTGACTAGACCATTTGTTAAGGTAAAGGCGTAACCAGTCGTAGACTTTCTTGTCTCAATGTCACCCGCATAATCTGCGTCTGAGTAACTTACCAATACAGATTCTTTTTCGTATTTTCGATATTCTATTTCTACATTGACAGTAGTGACTAGGTACGCGAAAATGCGTTTCACAGCCCGCCAGTGACTCTTACTGTGCCTATTAAGGAACTTACTCGCAGAGTTGACAGCAAACGCAATATCTAGGCGGGATACAATTGCTAAAAACATGAGTAATCTGACGGTACGGTACGGTACACTGTTTTCTATGTCACAATCTGACTCGACTGGATACAGTACGGTGTGAGGATCTGCCGGTACAGACACTCCTTTTGAATTTTTTATTCCAAATTTTTCGATTATTTGTTTCGCGTAGGCGCTTTGATGTATGAACATTGTTTTGTTGACTCTATCTTGCTCAATTTGTAACCCGACAAAGGTACTATAATTCCCTAGGGTGATCTCAAACGTCTCGCTTAGTGTTTTCACAATTGACTCGAGTACTCCCTTAGATTTTGCCGCGATAATGTCGTCGTCAACAAATAGCGCTAAATATATCTCAGATCCCTGAAAACTCCCGAAAAATATACATTTATCAGCATCTGTTTCCTTAAGATTAAACTGTCTTAAAAAATTAGAAAATTTTGCGTTCCAGCATCTGGGTGCTTGTTTTAACCCGTATAGGGATTTGCTAAGCTTACACGCCGCGCTGACATTTTTTTCTTTGTCGACGTTGAGGCCTTGAGCCCTGAGGCCTGAGGCCGAAACTTCTATGTGGATGTCTTCCAGCAGTTCTCCGTACAAGAATGCGGTCCGCACGTCAAACTGGATAGCCTCGAGATCATCTTTTGTGATTGCCAGAAGTACACGTAATGAGTAATATCTCACGACCGGTGAAAATGTTTCAGTGTAATCTTCTCCTTCCCGCTGCTGAAATCCTCACGCGCACAGGCGCGCCTTGAAACGATGTACACTTCTACTCGTATCTCGCAGGATTTTAAGGACCCATTTTGAGTCTATCGCCTTTTTGCCAGGAACTCTCGGCACAATCGTCCACGTCTTGTTTCTTCCATGCGCTTTGAGCTCTTCTTTTATTGCTTCGATCCATTTCGAAGCGTCCGACTCAGTCACCGCTTCCTGGAACGTTGCAGGAACTTGGTGCTCGACCAAATTTACCTCGTATCTAGAAGGGGGACGAATTTTATCGCGATCTCTTAGTGGCTCATTTACCGACGGTCTTGCTCGGTCATCGACAGAGATGGCGTCTGCGTTATCGACCACTGCTTCTTCGTTGCTGTCTTCATCTGCATTATCGACCGCAGGTTTCTCGTTATCTCGAGTTTCTTCTTAGTTGTAGTGCTGCGGATGCTTTGGTAACACTACTTCTACTCCAGATGTCGCTGTCGTCTCTCGTTTCTCTCTACCCGCGTGCTCGTTGAATACGACATTCCTTGAAACAGATACAGACATTGTTTCACAGTTGTACAACCTGCAATTCGATGAGTCTCCTTGGTAGCCGACGAGAATCGTCTTTTTTGACCTTGCTTGATAGAACTTCTTGACGAACTGCTTCGGAGTGTGGACATAGACCACCGATCCGAAAATCTTGTGGTTCAGGTTCGGCTTCTTGCCTGTCCACAGTTCGTATGGTGTTTTGCTTCCGCCCGGTCCCGATCGTCCCGCTTGATTCAACGTGTAGACTGCCGTGCTCACGGCTTCTGCCTATAGACTTGTTGGTAAGTCTTTTGCTAAAAGCATCGTTCTGGCGCACTCGACGATGGTCCGATTGTCTCGTTCCGATCGTCCATTCTGTGCCGGAATGTATGGAGCCGTATTCTCCATCTTTATCCCCCGCGATGCCAAGTAATTCCGCAATTTCTTATTGCAATATTCGGTACCGTTGTCAGCTCGTAACGTTTTTACCAGTCGATCAAACTTGTTGACAAGCATCCGTTCAAACTCCACGAATTGATCGAAAACGTCTGCTTTATGCTTGAGAAAATACACGTAGCAAAAGGCGGTGGCATCGTCTTTGAATGTCACAAAATACTCCGCACCGCCAAGATATCGCGTCTGCATTGGCCCGCACACGTCACTATGCACGAACTCTCCGGGTTTTCGAGCCACCTTTACGACCGGTTTGTCGAAAGGTAATTTGTGCAGCTTGCCGAGCTGACACGCTTCACAGAAGAAGTCATTGGTGTCCGTCACGGTCACGCTCTCTATGAGTCCTTTCTTCATTAATTCACATAACGATCGTTGATGTGTCCGAGTCGCTCGTGCCACACTTTTATATTTGTGGCTGACACATTCAACTCTTTTCTTAAATGCGGCACATGGAAAAACATTCAAAATATTTGATTCGACTGTCGCGTAGGGATGTGCGAGATTTATCGATTAATCGAAATAACCGATAGTTTCTTTTCAATTAATCGAAATTTTCAACCGATTAATTTTTCTTTTGAGTAATCAATATTTGATTCTTTTCACTTAACATCGCCAAACTGATTCTGTATCATGCAATGTAGTGAAAATGACAAAAGTGAGCAAATTTACTAGGTGTTGATCAATAAGATCATAGATAGACCCCCAGAAGCCATAAAAGGATAAGGTTAAGTTATAAATATTGTCTTTATGCTGTATTTTGCGCGGTCTATCAGTTAGGTTAAAGGCAACATTAGGTAACAATTTGTATGTACTCGTATTACAAACAAGAACTAACAAGGGAACGTTCACAAGTGTCCCCGCCCCCGATTTGATTTTCCTTGAAATATGTTGTAAAACATACAATTTGAAAAGACACGTATTTTTTTATAGCGGCCCTAACTCAAATTTAAGGGGTGAAACGCCCCTTTGAAAAAAAGGGGTTTTTTCTTTGTGTATAAATATCGCCAAAACCGTAGGAGATATCAAAAAATGTTTCGAATAAAAGTTGTATGGCTTGTAATGGGCTTAATAACTGTATAATTGGATTTTCAAGAAATATAATTTTTTTTAATTTACCTCCACTCCTTGTTATTATTTTTTCGAATTTTAAAATTTTTGTATTGACAAAAGTTGTAATATTTTTTACGCTGAATTTAACTATATATGATTTTATTATGTTCCGAAATCGCAACTTTCAAAAATGAGTCATCAGTATCACACTATATGCGTCGCGCTGCATGATGCATCGTTTATACCGCACTTGTGTTGCGCAACAGTCGTTAAATAAATATAAAAATGACATGTTATCACATATTTGAAAAAGAAAAGTTAACTAAAATTGTTACTAAAGCATCCCTTCATCATTACACCCTTATAGATAATCGCTGCATTTCGTGCGCAGCGCGTTGTCACATGCAAGTTAACTATTAGCGCATTACACTTTGAAGTTTCGTTTGTAGTGACTACGGGAAAATAATATATGAAACAAAAACAGTGAATGAATCAATCTATTCAACATACAGGGTGATTCAAAATAACCTGATGTCCTTGCAATGCCATATTCTTGAGCGAATTCTGAGACGATTTTTCCTTTTACAAAATTTTGTCCGAAGCTTAGTTTTCAAGTTATAATTGAAAATAAATAGCAACTTACGAGTTCAGTACAACGGGCAGGCAGGGACGCGCAACGTATAATGAAACTGTCAAGTGTTTACTATTGTCTCATGACACATTACACCGTCCCTGTCTGTCCGTTGTATCGGACTCGTAAGTAGAAAACTATTTTCAATTATAACTCGAAAACTAAGCTTTGGACAAAATTTTGTAAAAGGAAAAATCGTCTAAGAATTCGCTCAAGAATATGGTATTGCAAGGACATCAGGTTATTTTGAATCACCCTGTATATTCACTCTACCCTCTTGGCTTGACAATAAATTAAAATATAAAATTCCGTAAAGTTTACTCTTTTTCAATAATTAGCTGCTTTGATGGAGCGCGTATATTTCCATATTTAGATAATATATTTTGCACCGGAGCAACCGATAAAGAGCACTTTCAAACGTTAAAAGAAGTATTTAACCGTCTCAAAAATTGTGGTCTTAAAGTAAATATAAAGAAATGCGAATTCTTTAAGGAAAGACTAGACATTCTCGGATTCGTGATCGATAAAAAGGGCTTGCATAAATCAATGACTAAAGTAAGAGCGATGATTAAGGCACCGAAGCCAAGAAATCTTAAACAATTACAATCTTTTATAAGATTAATTACGTATTATGCAAGATTTCTCCCCGATAGAGCAAAAATGCTAAAACCTCTATATGAGTGCGCAAAGGGAAATAAATTCGTATGGACGAAAAGTTGCGATAAAGCATTTGAATAGACAAAAACTGAATTAACATCTCCAAAAGTGTTGGCGCATTATGATTTGAAAGAGAAAATTATCTTAGCATGCGATGCTTCAGCGTACGGATTATCAGCGATTTTGTCACATCAATACGCAGACGGTAGCGAAAAACCAATAGCTTACGCGTCTAAAATCATTCCGGAAAAGGAGCTGCATTGTGCACCAATTGATAAGGAAGCAAGTGCAATTGTATTTTAAAAAGTTCTACAATTATGTATACGGAAAAAATATTATTTTAAAAACTGATCATAAACCTTTGATATTCATTTTTGGCCAGAAACAGAAAATTCTATTAACGATAGCAAGCAGATTGCAGAGATGGGCTTATTTTTTATCAAGATTCTCATATAAAGTAGAATATATTCAATCAAAGCAAAACGGTAATTGTGACGCATTTTCGAGACTTCCGATAAACGATGTAATACCAGTGTTCGAAGATGAGTTCACTGCGATAAATTATGTGCAAGAAAGCATCGAAACTCTAAATGCGGTAGAAATTGCGAGAAAAACAAAGCGCGACAAAACGCTAACACAGATTAGTAAATATATAAACAATATGTGGCCGAGAAACCTTAACGAAAGCGAAGAAAAGTATTTTACGAAGCGAGATGAATTAACAATCGAAAAGGGTTGTATAATGTGAGAATATAGAGTAGTTATTCCAGAAAGAATAAGAGAGAGTGTGTTGCGAGAGTTACATGCATCTCATTTTGGGATTATCAAAATGAAGATGATAGCTAGGTCATATGTGTGGTGGCCGAACATCGACAAAGACATAGAATTAGTAACTGCAGCATGTACAGTTTGCGCGCAAGAACGAAAGAAACCTGCGAATGTATCGTTAACACCGTGGCCGTGGCCGGATAAATTCTGGAGCAGAATTTATAGTGATTTTTTAGGTCTTTTTTATGGACATACATATATATTATGTTGATAATACATTTATGTTGATAATAGATGCACATTCTAAGTGGCCAGAGGTTATCGATATGAATAATTGTACACAGGCACCGAGGGTAAAGCAGAATTTAAGAAAGTACTGGGAAGATTCGGACTACTGAGACATTTGGTTACCAATAATGGAACTCAGTACACGAGCGTTGAATGTAGAGAATTTATGAAAAGTAACGGTATTAAACAAAGCGTTTCAGCACCTCATCACCCTGCTACAAACGGAGCAGTGGAAAATTTTGTCGAAACATTTAAGAATAAAGTCGGAAAAATAATTAAGAGCGATAAAACACTCGAGCAAGCAATAAATATGGTTTTATTTGATTATCATACAATAGAGCATTGTACGACAGGACGAACTCTGGCTAGGATACAAACGAGAGCTAAGAACTAGATTTGATTTATTCAAACCCGACGTAACAGATAATATAGAGGATAAACACATTGCTCAAATAGCTGCTCGCAAAGGACATCGTAACGTCACATTTCAAATTGGCGAGGAAGTAATGGTTGATGATTTTAGCGTACGGAATAAGAAATGCCGACGAGGAAAAATAATAAAGCGATTATTGCCTGTAACTTTTGAGATCGAAATTTCTCCTAATTGTACTTAGAAGCGACATGTAGATCAAATGATCAAATTTAGCGGAAGCAATAAAATAAAAAATTATAGATGTATCAGGCTTTAGTGATTGTCAAAATCAATAATATTTAAAAGGAGCGTAAAGAGCCACACAGCAGGTTATTTGGGCGAAGATTATCATATGTTAGTTTTTACCATTATTACAATTACATTAAAATAAACGTTTCTGCCTGTCATCAGGCTTTCTTCAGTATTATTTTGCAAGAACAAATAAAACGCAACGCATTAATTAAATAAACAGTATACGAAACGAAAAAATTTTTTTACAATCCATAGTTAACAGAAGTGTAGTTCAAGTTTTTTACAATCCTAACGTCGTTAGGATCGATATATCGAAATATCGAAATAAAACAAATGTCAGATCAAAATTCTGAAGACAGCGTCTTATAGGGGAGACATTGAACTTTCCAAAAGGCTCATGGTGAATGTCGTACGACAATTTGTTCCGGAGCTACGGATGTTTAAAGTTGGAGGTACCAATTTTACTTTAACCGCCAATAACTCGGTTAAAAAAAATCGCACAGCATTCACTAAAAAAGCAAATTGTTGAAAATTGTGTGAGCTTTAACGTCGTGGAATCGATATTTGACAAAAAATATAAAAATTTTTTTCATTTCCGGATTGGTCCGTTCAATAGAGGATACTCAGTTAAAAATGATGATACGGGAGTTTTCTTCAAAGATTCAGAAACTAGAAGTTTCAAGCTTCAAAACGCTTTATTTAAATTTTTTTTTCGTCTATTTTTCGCGGAGATACAGCCGCTCCAAAAACACCCAAAAATCGACCCGAAATTTTCTATTCCTTAATTTTGACGCGTAGTGTATATTTTTATAACTTGAGTTTTTACTGTTATCTAAAAAGTTTTTTACAGGGTTTTTGAAAGCTTTCTAAGCTTTTAATTCAGATTCTTTCAAGTACAATTCAAAACTATTATCTTTTATTAATTTCTGTATTTGTGGACTAACAAATATTCCAGCTTTAACTTTTTTTACCTTGTTTCATTATGGAAAAAGTTTTTTACATATTTAAAAGCTGCACTATTTTTATCCAATGCTTTTGTAAAATTTTTTATTAAGCCTGACTTTATATGTAATGGTGGCAAAATTACTTTGTATCGATCTATTAGAAAATTTTTTAAAACTTTTTTCTCCAGAAATTAATTGTTTTCTTTCATTTTTTTATAAAATGAGAATGTTTATCCTATTCATAAAGAAAACAGTTATATTTTATATAACCGCCTTGAAGTCCTTGAAAAGTATCATTTTCAAGTCTGCGCAAATTAACCATTTATATTCTTCATATTTTATACATTTCAGTATAATTGTCATGTTTTCATAAATTTCTTTCATATTTTTTGAACATGCAACCGATGGTAATTTCTAATGTGCATCAAAATTTCTGATTGTCCATATAAATGTACATAATTGTGTTGCATGTTGCAAACTACATATTTTTTTCTTGAAAGCAACTATGTGTTTTCTTTATACCAATTGATTCGTCTCATTATTTTATGCATAAAAGTATTAAGGTAAGCTTCCCAAAAATTGAATGTTTTACAAGATATTTTGTATTTTATGTCAAAATACTGTAATTTACAAGCCTCATAACTCAAAAAGTACTTAATGAAAAATAACTTTATTATAGTGTTTTGAAAAGCTCTTGATACCAGCTATTAGATTTTGGAATCAAAAATAGGGGTTTCCATTTAAAAAAATAACTCTGACCTTCAAATAACCTTGAAAATTGACTTCAAGGTCAAAGTCAAGGTCACCCTCAGTTGACCCCCTTTTAATCCTACAACGTTTGTTAAGGTCATTTTTTGCTATCACCCTTATCTTCGGAGTAATTTGCGTGGATGTTTTATAATGGGACACCCTGTATATTATCTTCTTATGGAATATTTGTACTTTCTATTGTCGTATTTAATGTTTCTTGTTACTTTTTACTTTTATTAGTTTTTTTATTACTATAAAGCTTAAAATTATTAATTTATACAAATAGACATAAATTTAATGTAGAATAAGCATTTAAAATATGAATTTACTAAAAGCATTATGTGCAAAAGCATCATCTATTTTACTCATACGTATGTCTTCAAGTAAATAACATACCATCAGCTGTTGTAATTAATAATACATCTAAAGATGATTGCTTGGTGATAGAAGGAGCTTGGTTAGAATATGGATGCCATTGCATATCCGTAGGATAAAAGTCATTTGGAAATTCTGTTATAATAGTGGAATGTGCAGTACCACTTTCTAAACGCCAACATATCAATAAATGATCTTCCCTGTAAAGTTATTGTATAAATTATTTTTTATGTTAATTTAATTTTATATTCACAGAAAAATAAAGAATTAAAAAATAAAATATTTACATATCATATATTTATCATATATTACAATATATGATAATAATTATAAGTTTTCATTAACAAATATTTTATGTTTAATAATAAGATTCTGTATCCCAATAAAAATTTAAATATTTAAATAGAAATTTATATTTATAAAATCGAAAATTATTATAACTCAAAACGATAAAAATCAAATGAAAATAAAAGAAGCTAATGAGCCGATATTAGATGTTCATGCAAACATATACAATTTCCCAAATAAATAACAAAAGATAAACATTTCGACCTATGATCAGGTCTTTATCAATATCAACTTAAATCTTAAATCGCACGTATTTTAATAGGTATAAATCTCTCAAAAAATAAAAACTAAAATTTTTAAATATTTTTAAAATAAAATATTTAATCAAA